GGGGGGGGAGAGCAAGATTACATACATATATAAATACCCCGATAGGAAAATATTTAGAAAATTATGTAACGAAATCTGGATGAGACTTGGAATGTGGAATTATGCGTATACATTTCGCAAAACATATGCAGAAATGGAGACCTTTTGTCAAATATTGGTAAATATTTGCACAATGTATTTCTAAATAGTATATCAGCAAAACAATACCGTTTTGATGAATCACCTTAGCAGAATATTTGCACAATTAAATTGCTGTCGTGTTACGACAAGCTGCCGTTACACGGTGTCTCGCGAGATGAGATAAAAGCTGGCCCAGCGATAAACACGTCCTACGCTAAATCTTTTTTTAACATTTATTAAACGTAACTGTGTTGCTGGGTAATTTTGCTTCTAAATGTTGAAATAATTATGCATGATTTATCCCCTAAATTGAATTTATCAATGTTTGGGTAAATACCATTTACAAATTTTATTCCTACAAAACTGCTGCGTTATGGCGAATCACTTAAATGTAATCATTGTGGTCCAATCCAATTTCCTACTTTTGGATGATGCAATTATTGCACTTGAGACATTTTCCTATCGAGGTAATTAAGATAAGATCAATCTCTATTTATTTATTGCCGTTTCCACTAGCTGGAAAATAGGACGAAAAAATTAATAAAGGAGAACGGATCTGTCTACTATATACGTTTTATTAGTATAATGAATTCTGTGGTGTATCATACGATTGATAAAAATGTGGTCAGGCCACCATAATTATCTAATTTACTTCGCCGTGTAATATCGTCGAAAGGTTTGAAAGAGGATACTAGTTGAGAAACGGTCTTTGAAATGAAATCTTTTCGACAGGCAGTCGGTTAGAAATTACTTTATTGCGCTCCCCATTATTTCCAGTGCTGTCCTATAATTGTGCCAATTAGCTTGATGAATATAGATATTCTTACGAAAACTATATGCGCTGAATTGATGTGGCACAATCAAAACTAGCTTTCTGTGATTAGATCAATGTACAATATATTACGTATAACATGAATTATGCTTTACGTATTTCTAAATTGCGCTCAGAACTGAATATCGTTCTTGCCTTGGAATATTAAACAAATTGTGCTTAATTTAACGGACATACAATCATTTCTATCGGTCAATGTAATTAATTTGTTTATATCACTTCGCATTTTATTTTATTTTCAGTATTACCGTTGTCGCATAACGGTAAATATTACATCAATTCTTCTATTTATTCAATATTTCAAGGCGATTTCAATTACGATTCGAGCAAATCTTACAAAAAACTTGGGAAAAAATATATCATATATAATTATATATGTATATAAAATAAGTTTATATATGTTTTCTCTATCTTGTATAATTTCTGCTCATACAAGTAAAATGAGAAAAAGAAGAATTAAAAAATGATTAAAGATTTTTACGTGATTTTTTTTACAAAACAATAAAGTTTGAAATGAGAAAGCATTGTCCATATATAATCGTGTGTGTGTGTGTGTGTGTGTGTGCATGCGCGCGTACGTGTGATCCTCACGTGACCTTTAAGCAACTATTCAAGGCCAAATTAATGACACCATCTTATGTCCACCTCGAAACCAAACAACTTATATCTGAAACATTTTTGTTTGTTGGGCTGTTTATGAGATATTTTATTGTCCAAGTTAAAATGGGACACCCTGTATATAAAATACCATTATATACAGAATATTGTATCATCTAATCGCAATTTTATATATTTTGTAAAAAACTGATGCTAAAGTCCATCAATTTTTTATATTTAATTATATATGAGAATTTTTTCCTAGGAAAGTGTCTAATTTAGAACATTGAACTTGTATGTGTATACATACATATGTCTCTTTATTTCTAAATGTTTACGATGTTTCTATAGCGAAAAACTTACGAGGCATTATAAATAATGAGAGAGATTTAATGACAGATGAATGGATCAAACATACAATATTATATATACGTATATTTATTTAATAGAAAATATGAGATAAAGATACATATATAGAGTTAATGTATAAATGGAAGTTACTCGAAGAAATGTATTACAAATTAGATACAATTTCAGATTTAAATTTATTTAAGTTTTAATATATGATGATATATTTATGTAGCGATAAAAAAATAAAATCCTGAAAGATTAATGCTGTTATAATAAAAC